AATGAAAATACATCCTGCATATCAGATATGTACATTATGATTCATAACAGTAGCAACATTACAGTGATGAAGTAGCAACGAAAATAATGTTATGGTTGGGGGTCACCACAACATGAGGAACTGTATTAAAGGGTCGCGGCATTAGGAAGGTTGAGAACCACTGCTGTAGGGCTTTCTGTAAAGAGAATAGAGGCGAATGTAATGCCATCCTCTTCAGAGTACAGGAGTGAAAGAACGTATCATCCCATCGACGCTGGGTGAGAACCAGTCAATCGGAAGGAAGTGACCCAGGGAGGAGAAAGGGATCCCTGTGAGTGAGGCAGGAGCCGAGACACACCTGCCTGTCATGATGCACACCTGCCCCATAACCTGCCCCATGATACACACCTGCCCCATGAACCTGCCCCATGATGCACACCTGCCCCATGAACCTGCCAGCCGGGGGCTGGAGGCAGGACCAGGCTGACCATGAGCCTGTGCTCTCTGTACGTCACTACAGTGGTCCCCCCATGTCCACCGTTTCACTTTCCATGGTCAACCGTGGTCTGAAAATACTAAATGGAAAATTACAGAAATAAACAACATATCAGTTTTATTTTCTTTAAATATATTTGTATTGATTTCAGAGAGGAAGGGAGAGGGAGATAGAAACATCAATGATGAGAGAGAATCATGGACTGGCTGCCTCCTGCACGCCCCACACTGGGGATGGAGCCCGAAACCTGGGCCTGTGCCCCGACCGGGAATTGAATCTTGACCTCCTGGTTTGTAGGTTGACGCTCAACCACTGAGCCACGCCAGCTGGGCAACAATATATACATTTTAAAGTATACAGCGTTCTGAGCAGTGTGGTGTGTCTTGCTCTGTCCCACTCCATTCTGGGATGGGAATCATCCTTTTGTCCCTCATCTCCACGCTGTCTGTGCTCCCCACCTGTCAGTCACTTGGCCCAGTGGTTCTCGGGTCCACTTGGGTTCAAGTCACCCTTAGTCATGGCCCAGAAGCGTGAGCGTAGTGGCGCTGGCAATTCGGATACACCAAAGAGAAAGTGAAGTACATCCTTTACGTGAAAAGGGTGTGATGTTTAGGGGTGAGCACTGTCCTCGGTTTCAGGCATCCACTGGGTCCTTGGAATGTACCCCCTGAGGAAAAAGGGGCACAAGTATATTTAGAACTTTAGCTCATCTCGTCTTTAAACTTTGGAAACTCATGCATTGTATTTAGTGATTATGCATAGGTAAGCCTTGTGCTTGGTGTTAACTCAGAATTCATTTAAACAGGAGACATTTGGTTAAGAATTTTTAACTAGACACAGCTCGACACCTATGGAAACATAAGCTGGTCTTTCCATATGTATTTTTTCCAGTAGCTCTGAAGCCAAGACGTATGGGAAGCATAACTTACAGGAACACTGCAGGTTCTGGTTGTGTTATCTTTAACACTAGTCTGTTGTTGGCTTTTCTTTCCTCTAAAGAAATTGTGGACGGCAATGTGAAGATGACGCTGGGCATGATCTGGACCATCATCCTCCGCTTTGCCATTCAGGACATTTCAGTTGAAGGTAAAGACGTGGTTAAAATCGGATTGTATTAAGAGACTCCGAGCACTTTGTAAGGGGAGCTGACAAGTTAAAGTTTGAATCTGGTGGTATAAAATCGAACAGTCACCTACGTGATGGAAGGAAGGACCCTGGGACCCTTTGGGGTACGGGCGGACGCTGCAACCAACTGAGCCACACTGGCCAGGCTGCAACGGAATTCTCTAAGGAGCCAGGCCCCTTTAACAGATGGTGGGCCTCTCCTTAGATATAGGTGTGAGATTAATATATCTGTTGGTGAGGGCCATCCAGATGGAAGTCCATGGGGCTCCCGGGTGCGTTATACGGTTTTTCATGGCGGAATGACAAACGACACTGCCTACTTCTAACATGGTTTTTGCACCCATGATTGGGGTTTCGTGAGTGGATGTCTGTGTGCCAGGTGGCGGTGTTTTGGGTTCCACCTGCACCTGCGGGGGGTGGCGTGTCCACAGGCACAGACATACTTGGTACAGGCTGTTGACCTTTGCTGAACACGTGGACTTGGAGAGAGTCCGCTTCGATTAAACAAGGAAAGAACTGCGCTCCCCATTCAGACACAAACAGAACAAAATCAGGGAAACTCATTGGCCTGCACAACCAACTTCCGTAGCAGTTAGAAGATTCTATCGATCTGCTTAACGTGTTTACTTTCCTAACCTAATTTTCACTTAAGCTATAAAAACATAGTTTCATTTCCTCATGATGCGATTTTTCTTATTCACTGCATTGGGCAGGACCCAAAGGCAAGCAGCTATAGAGAGCAGCACAGCTGGGTACGGAGTTGCACATTTCAACATCTGGACCAGCTAATCCTATATCATAAAAGGCTAATATGCAAATCGACCGAACTGTGGAACAACTGGCCGCTATGACGAGCACTGACCACCAGGGGGCAGATGCTCAACATAGGAGCTGCCCCCTCGTGGTCAGTGTGCTTTCACAGGGGGAGCGTCGCTCAGCCAGAAGCCCTGAGCTGGGCTCATGGCTGGTGAGTGCAGCGGCGGTGGTGGGAGCCTCTCCCACCTCCTCAGCAGTCAGACATCCCCCAAGGGCTCCTTTACTGGAAGAGGGTGCAGGCTGGGCTGAGGGACTCTCCCGAGTGCACGAATTTCATGCGCCGGGCCTCTAGTATACTAATAAGGTCTTAGAACTTCCTCTTGCTCCTTAACAAGAATTTGCTAGACAAGAGACACGAGCAGGAATCATTCAAATTGTTCTTCCAGCACAGGAGACTTAGGGACTGTTTATTTCAACTGGGTTTTAGGTCAAAGAAAAGTCTGAACTATTTGTCACAATTGAGATAAGTAATTACAGAATACTTATTGTGATTTGAAAAAAAAATCAACTTCAAGCCCTTGCTAAGATGGAAGGCCAGTGTTAGGTAAGAGTCCACATGTTTACAGGGACTTTCTAAGGCTTAGAATCTAAGTTGTTAAAACGTAAGCGCAGGCAGAATCCCAGGTCATGTAAGTGGCTCGGAGGAGCCGTTTGGATCCGCCAGAAGCAAGTGCCAGGCGACATTAGACGCTGTCTAGTACCAGACCGAGTGGCTTATACGACAGATATGTATTTTCTCACAGTTGAAAGCCCTCGACCAGGTGATAAATGGCTGCCTTCTTGCTGTGTCCTCAGGTAGCAGGGAGAGACTGACAGGCAGACAAACAGAACTCGTGCATGTGCATGCAAGCACTCTGATCTCTCTTCTTAGAGTGGCACTAATCCCATCATGAGGGCCCCACCCTTGTGACCTCATCTAACCCTAGTGCCTCCCAAAGGCTATATTTCTAAATACCATCACTGGTGATTAGGGCTTCAAATATGGATTTTTTGGGGGCTGGGGGGGGCATACATTCGGTCCATACAGAAATGTACACGATTTGTTGGGGAAAGGCCTGTGGAGGAGGAAGTGGGAGAGCAGATGATGCCAGAGGGAGCCTTCAGGCCAAAGCGCTTGGCTGACACCCGTACTGGGGAAGAGGAGGGAGGGCTTGGGAAGGAAGAGTCATTCTGCAGTGGAGAGGGGCAGCCTGAGGAAGTGTGCCTGGGGAGGGCGGGCGTGAGGCAGCTGGGAAGGCCGGGGTGAGGCAGATGGGAGGGCAGGGGTGTGGTTGGAGAGGGCAGGGGTGTGGCAGCTGGGCCATCCGTGCCTGCGCAGTGCTCCCAGCAGCAGGAGTCTGAGCCACATAGCTTCACGGTACCATGAGGGTCGGGGTGGGGGTGGGGGAGTTAATTTGGTCAAAACTCAAGTGGCTGAACTTGAAATTCACTAGTAAAAATCTTCAGTGTAAAATCTCTGGGTAAGGGTACACATTTGGGACAGGTGGCCTCTGTGAGTTCCGTTTCCCTAAGAATATTAATTACGCATGAGGTGAGTGACAGGTGCATGGCGTCATAAACCGTGCACACGTAGACAGTTTTCACAGGAAACTGCGTCCCCAGGGCCCCGAGATCTGGTCTCATGTGCGTGGCGTCATAATCCGCAGCCGCACCGCCCTGTCCGCTTTGCGTCCCCGAGTGTCGCCAGGCACAGGCTCCCTCTCTGTCCTCGCGCCCAGAGTGGGAGGGGAGAGGCTGCTCGGGGCGCTGGCCCCTGGGACGGAGCCACAGTTGGGCCAGTGACGTGGTGAGCATGTCCCCGGGGACACTTCTTGGCTGTCGTTGCAGAAACCTCTGCCAAGGAAGGCCTGCTGCTGTGGTGTCAGCGGAAAACCGCTCCTTACCGAAATGTCAACATTCAGAACTTCCACACCAGGTGAGCTCGGGGCCGGGGTCCTCGCCTGCTCGGGGAGCCCCAGGCGGGGGCGCCGTGCCGTGTGTGTCCGCACCCTTGTTTGCGCCTCTCGCTGAGGGCATTCATGTTTGTTGCAGGACTTCGGCTGTAGGTTTAGGGCAGGGGTCCTCAAACTACGGCCCGTGGGCCACATGCAAATACAAATATTGTATTTGTTCCCGTTTTGTTTTTTTACTTCAAAATAAGATATGTGCAGTGTGCATAGGAATTTGATCATAGTTTTTTTTAAACTATAGTCCGGCCCTCCAACCGTCTGAGGGACAGTGAACTGGCCCCCTGTTTAAAAAGTTTGAGGACCCCTGGTTTAGGGTTTCGCAGGGGAACCATGTGACTTGGGTGAGGGATGCTGGTAACAGCTCTGTGAGTGAGTGAGTGAGTGGGTGGTATGTGGCGCCAGATGGGGCCTTCAGGACATGGGGGTGAGAAGCCATTCTCCCAGGCCTGCACCCCACCTGGGCGATGGCCCAGGATGGCTCCTCAGTGGGGAGGAGACCAAGCAGGTCTGCGATCCCAGGGCCTGGTCACACCCCTGTCCTTCTGCTCCCGAATCAGCTTCGTGTGTTGGAATTCAAGTGAAGTAGGCGCCCGGCCGGTGTGGCTCAGTGGTTGAGCATTGACCTCTGAACCAGGAGGTCACTGTTCGATTCCCCGTCAGGGCACATGCCCGTGTTGCAGGCTTGATCCCCAGTAGGGGGTATGCAGGAGGCAGCCCATCGATGATTTTCTCTCATCATTGATGTTCCTCCCTCCCTCCCTTCTTCTCTGAAATAAATCAAAGTATAGTTTGAAAATTGCTTTGTGAGGAAGGACAAAGGCTACCTGGGACCAAGAGTGGCCTTTCAGGAGTGTGAGAACCCTGGGAGGAACGTGTGTGCTGGGCATGTCAGGGTGGGCATCCCTGGGCGTGGCCAGTGGGCTGACCCTGGTCCAGAACAGAGCCTGAAGGCAGAGGGAAGGAAGCAGTCGGGATGGAGGGACAGTGACAGAGGCGCCAGCTGTCTTCCTCCTGGTCCCTCCCGGTGCTCCCAGCACAGAACCAGCCCAGGAGGCAACGGGGAGGGGCACAGGCAAGGGGGGCCCGGAGCTGAACATGGGAAGCGGACACCCAGGGGGCGGCAGTCCGTAGGGACCCCGGGATGAAGACTGGCGTCTGAGGAAGGGGCACAGGTCGCTGGGAGGGGAGGGCGGCGGTCCCTGGGGCCTTGGGTGCATTAAGTCGGACATGAAGCAGTGAGGGCCCCTCGGCCTGAAGGTCCGGCCGTGCAGACCCTGCTGCCTTCTCTGCTCACATTGACCCGTGTCCTCCTCTTCTCCACGCGGCGCAGCTGGAAGGATGGCCTGGGACTCTGCGCGCTCATCCACCGGCACCGGCCCGACCTCATTGACTACTCCAAGCTGAACAAGGTCGGCCCCCCAGTCCACCCCCCCAGCATGTGGTCCAGCTCCGAGCCCCCCCCACCTCCCAC